CCTAGGCCCCTGGGTGGGGCCCGACTAGTAACCAATGCCAAATCCGGCGAAACAACTGGCCGCTGTGATACAATTGTGTAATAATAATAATAATGGCAAATGATTTTAGTATTAATATATTTAAAGCTTTAGCTGGCAATAAAGTAGCAGACAAAATAAATCAATTGAGGACCACTACAGATTTTGTCCATGTGTGTTTGTATATAAATGCATAACATACATACATAATATATGCAATATGTATACATGTACACGTGCATTCACTTTGCTTGTGGGAAGTTGAAAGAAAGTTGTTTCTTAACAACCCACAATCCCTACTTAACAGCAAGGAGGATTCAGGTATGTGATTAAATGATTTTGTGCTTACAGTTGAATTGCTTAACAATAGAAATTCCAGTTCCAATTACTATACTTAAATGTGGATTATTTATCTAAGTAATTCCTTGTCATTTTCCCTTCATAAATAGGAATGTTACTGAATTGAACTACAGACTAATTCATGTTATAAAAAATAAGTGAATTTATGACTGTTACAATTGAAAAAAATCTTCTGTAGAAGCTACAGATGTATGCATGTATGCATGTATATGTATGAATTATTTATTCATTATTGTACAGGATGACTGTCTTGTAAAGGTGTGGTATAACACTGATTGCTGGAAATCAGTAATTGCATCACAACATACAACACCAGAAAGCAAAATGGAGGAACTCAGTTTTTCATTTATTTATCTGATTCATCCTCGATCTGTCGACGGTTTTTCATGGCGAAAAACAAGCAACTATATGCCGCGGTAAGAATAGCTACAAACTAAATAACATTCAATAAATAAAAGTTGTGATGTATATGGTTTATATATTGTAATTTATATTCTGTCTAGCATATGAACCTGTGCACATGAACATTACTTATCAAACCTATGCACACAGGCACATAGAATATTAAATTATTTCCTAGTAATAATAAATTTAAGCACCATAAAACTCATGGCTCACGAGGAGTCCTATACAAGCTTGCTGCTTTGGTTTAACTGCATCAGCAAAATTGCTTGGTGTCACCTCAGTCCAGACTAAGTAGAAGCTCCTAGGCAGAAGCTCCTCAGTGCAGACTGAGTGGAAGCTCCAGTCCAGCTTCAAATATGTCAGGCACAACTCCAGAGCTTCCTATATATGAAAAAGTATCTTCCTCTAAAAAAAAAGGTTTAATTAATTTCCATCTTCCCTCCAACAAAGGTTTAATCAACTTCTGTTGAGTTTCAGGCCACACAAGTTACACAATAGTTGTTATTTTTGTAACTTTTTTCCCCACACACAGCATATGAGAAATTAAAGGAAACATTGATTGTAACCAATGTGATTTAATTATACATTTGGGATCAATTAATGTGAAACTTATTTTAATACCTTATAGTTTTCTTAGAATTACCAAAAATATATCCTGTTTCCCTGAAAATAACACTTCTGCAGATAATAAGCCCAATCAGACTTTTGAGCGCATGCACTAAAATAAGCCCTCCCTGAAAATATTGCAACACAGCAGCAGCCATGAAGTGACCACACTCACCACTTCCGGCACCTCAAAAATAATAAGTCCTCCCCCAAAATAAGGCCAAGCGCTTATTTCAGGGGTCAAAAGAAAATAAGACCCTGTCTTATGTTGCCTTTGACTTGCAGCTGGCCAATTAGTGACAGTTCAAAGTTACAACAGACCTCCTCAGGGGTACTTAGGATCCAGAATCAAAATTGTAACATTCCCCTGCAGCCACATAATGGCATTTTGAGATCTCGGCAATTGGCCCACATTCACAGCCATTTGCAGCATCCCATGGTCACGTGACTGTGCTTTACATTTTCCCCCCAGAAAAAATGTGAACAATAGTCTTGCTTAGCAACCATAGCATTCGCTTAACAATCCTCATGATTATTTCAGTGATGGCCACAAAAATAGTCAAATTGGGCATAGCCATGTGCTGACCCATTTAATGACTGACATGACTTATGTTTGTAAGTCATAATTGCAGATCAGTTTGGGTTGTAAGTTGAGGACTACCTATATAATTTTAATAGACAAGGTTATTGATAATATATGTAGTTAATGTGTTCACTAGTATTGGAAATATAATTTTAAATATAGAATATAACATTGACTATAGAAGAAGCAACATAAAACTCACTTGTGTTCTTTACAATGAAGAATTTTGTTTTAGTTACTTTCAGTTCTACTCTCTTAAAAGATATTAAGGAACAGATGGTTCCCTAGAAAATAATATATATTATTCAGTGTTGAACTGTGGAATTCTTGGTGCTCTTTAAACTTGGTTGTTTGCTTACATACGTTTTATTACCTGACTGGGTTATATCAGCAATGCCAGTGAGTGTGAAGTTTACTCTCTGCCAATATATAGTAGATCGCCCTGCCAATTCCCGGATTAGGGTATTGCTTTCTGCCTGATTGTTTGTCTGGTGTCAATCCCTGTTCATCTGAACTTTTTCTTCTTAGCTTTTTTATTGGCATTTTTGAATGGTGTGCAAACCAGTTTATATATCCCTGTGTGTAGGTTATCTCATAATAAAACAACAACAGCAATAATAATAATTAACAGTGATACCCATTGTCATCAGGGCACTTAGTACCATGTCCAAGAATAGATAAAAAACATTGCAGTTTTCTGCAATAATGCCATCGGAACTGCAAAAAACTGTGCTACTCAGAACATCGTGCATTTTAAGGAGATACTTGGTTGATACTTGGGACGCTGGCAGCAACCCGTATCAATCATCAACACCAATTAATGATATTTGTGATACATTTTTAAATGTTTGGTTTTACTGAGTTTTATCTTTAATGAATAATAGAAATAATGATGATAATAATATTTTAAAAACTGCAATCCGGTATTTAAAATGTTTCCATGAGATTTTTAAGAATCTGTTGCCCAAAATAATGTATATGAAATCAAAGTATGTGGTATTGCAATAATACTGAATAGGATTCAACAATCCTCTTTCTGAAATTTATATTTTCTCTTTGCTTTACTTGGCTTTCTTTCCTATAGTGGTGCTGTGTGTAATGTACTGCTGACCTGCTGCAAAGACAATATATGCCGTCTCTGGGCAGAAACTCTGTTGCCTAATGATAGCCTCTTATACGAAGATGGATATAACAATTGGCCTGAGCCAGTGAAATTAAATAACTTTAAGAGGAATGCTTCTAGCAAAGAAAGCATGAAAAATGCTTTAGAGGTAAGAAGTGACATCTACCAGATATTAATAATTGATAAGTTCTGATTTGAACATTTAGTTTGAAAATGAGTTTTTATCTGTATTTTTATGAAAGGTAGCTATCTAATCCTATTTAAATGTAATCAAGGGGCTTTTGTTTTCTACAGACGTGTAGAAAATGTTTTTCTTCATTTCATTATGTCATATGAACCATATATTCCTGGTCTCAACAGTTAAATCTAAAACCTTTCCGACGAGGAAGAAGAAGATCAATAGCACTTGCACATACTGGATACTTGCCCCATCAGCAAGACCCTCATGTAGTTCATCGAAACAACCCATTGCAGTCAAATGCACTTTGCCATTTCCACATTGCTGCCAGCATCAATCCAGCCACAGGTGATCAAAAATAAGCAACCTTAATTTTAGGATAAGTAGATTCAATTTAAATTTATCTCTATAAAGCATATTATACAATAATGTTTATAGATGCCAAAATTGTGCTGAAAAGAGAATATAATTTTAAAGTTGTAAAACCATTCAAAATGTTGCTTTGAAAATTCTTCCTACTGGTTCAGTAGTTATTAATAGTATTTATGATTGCATTTATTGTGAATTGTTTTTATTGTGATTTTATGGATGTTTTTAGTTTCATATATTGCATGCTGCCTGAAGAGGAATTAATAAATATAAATGTGATTTGTAGCAATGATACCATAACATTCAGTAACTTGTTATAAATCTTCATACAGTTTCATATGAAGAATACTAACAATTTGGTTTTTAAGGTAATTAGTGTTAATTAGAGTCATTATAGCATTATCGTCTATTAAAAACCTAACCCAAAATGTGTAGATGTAAATATATCAGTATATTCTTTCTTTGCAAAATACTAAATGAAATTGTAAATTTTACATTGTATGGCTTAATTAGATCCTTCTAAAAGCCCTCTAGAATGTTGCACCAGCAAATATGTGTAACATCATTAGTCCTATGTTTTCCCGAAAATAAGACAGGGTCTTATTTTCTTTTCCTCCCCCCAAAATAAGCGCTTGGCCTTATTTTCGGGGAGGGCTTATTATTTTTGAGCTGTAGGAGGGCACGAGCATGGTCATCTCATGATTGCTGCTGCATTCAAATATTTTCAGGGAGAACTTATTTTCAGGGGAGGGCTTATTTTAGCGCATGCGCTCAAAAGCCTGATTGGGCTTATTATTGGGGGAGGGCTTATTTTCAAGGAAACAGGGTAATTAATTTTTTAAAATAAATTATGTTTTATGTATTCTACTTCTAAAAATTCGAGGCAACTTAGTTCTGAGTATCCTGGTAAATTACTGATTATTAATCTGCTGCTAAAGAAAATTATCTGTCCTTTAATTCTGTATATGTCCTTTCTAAAGTAGTCTGTCTTGGTTCCACCACAAAACCGCATTCGACTAAAGCGCGCTCGACGAAACCGCATAGCTAATGTCATCACAGGGCGACAACAGCGCAGAGACAGAAGCATGCTGTAAACGCTAAACCTAAAATTAACCCCTAAACCTAACCCCCCTAAACCTAATCCTAAACCTAACCNGGGCGATTGAAGTGGTGTGCGTCCCTCTCCTGGGAGGAAGGCGGTGATTAGAGGGGAGGGTGGTGACATTGCTTAAAGGGAAACCTGCAGCTATTTCCAGGTTTGTTTGGGTAATTTCGTCCTTGTGCCTGCGCCAATGGGCTTTAAACAGTCCAAGTTTCGGCAAGTTTCTTCTTTCCATCTGAGAATTAGCTAAGGGGAAGCTACCAACCTAGGGGCGACGTCCTCTGCAGCCAACACAATACACAATCTTTTTTCCGTGCCCCCCCTGCTTCCCCCCCTTGCTTCTTAGTGCCCCCCTGTCATCCATCAGCCCCCAGGGGGCAGTACCGCCCACTTTGGAACCACTGGTTTAGTGTAAGATAGTATGTGTTGCATTTTAGAAAATACAGTGAAAAACTACATTTTATCTTTTAACCTGTAATACTAATAGTTTAGCCTTTGTAATATCTCCAAATACATGTATAAAACATTTTTACAGTAATATAAAGCAGTGAATTACAACAACAATAACAACAACAGCAATGATGATGATGATGATAACGATACAAAATATCCATTAGAAATTTGGGGATGGGTAAGGAAGAAAGCCCTAAGAGAATCTATTGATCCAACATACTTTACAAGAATACAAAGAACAAGATAAAAAGGTTCAACAAGTAACTCAAGATATTACAGTAGGAATCTTTAAACTTTCAAGGAAGAAGAATATTCCAGAGTATAAACTTGGCATAAGCAGGAAGACCTCATAATTTTTGCAGTTGTTTGAGTTTTGTAACAGCAGAAACAGATGATCAAAATGCAGCCTATTCCAGTCTAGATTTATAAATAAATAAACCCAAATGTCACCAGCATTTTGATAACCATTATTTGCAAAAGACCTGACATTTTGTACTGATAGCTTCACATAAATATTAAAAACCATCAGAAACTAAGTAATGTCTTCTGTCAACCCACATTATGCTATGGCTGTCAAGATACAGACATACAGTTATTCAGTATTTATATTTTCTCAGACCATACTGGAAGTAGGAGTTGGACTACTGTAACATAGCTCCAATCTTTGACAAATAGAGATGGTCCAGGAGAATATAATGGCTAAGTATCAGAAGGTGCTGAGAGATTAATTGGTTACAGAGAGACCATCTTCAGCATTATACAGGTCGTTGCATCCCTTATAGCTGGCAGGAGGGCTTCATCACAATGTTTTCTATCCTCTCTGACTCCACCTGATTCAGATAGTGTTCATTAGTAATTGCCTGATTTAGTGACTTTTCACAGTAAAAATGATGAAAAAGTAATTTTCTAATCAATCCTTGCTTTTATGATTGTTACAAATCTATAAAGCAAAAGAAAGCTGAAGTAAGATGATAAGCATAGTCACACTTAACAACACTTTATTTAACAACCAAGTTGCCTTTCGCAATTGTCGCTAAATAAGGACTACCTATAAACTGTCTTTGGTTAGCTAAAATAAGCAAGATGCACCCAAGATATATGGGTGGATGAAATTGATTATAGATTGATCTGTGATGGTCTCATGATGAGTCAAAAGGCCATGTGGTAGGCTAGATCATAATTCTAGTTATGTTGTCCACATATTCAGACATCAAAATATGAAAGAAATTCCTTCAAAGTAGATCAGTTTGACATTTAAGTATGTCCCAATTAGAAGCAGTATTTATGCTGATGGGAAAAATGATTATATCCAAAAAGTGTCTTAACAAATTTATCACAACAAATTATTAAGCTTTTTAAATCTCAATTATCATGCTTTCCCTTTTTATAGAACTGCTTCTCAAGTTCATCTAATGATGTTTTCACCAGATGGAGAATTTTTTGCTACTGCAGGAAAGGTATGATTTACTTTATTTTTCATTTCAATTTGTATCAACTTTTTGTGTAGGACATCAATATTTTGAAATAGCAATAATAATAATAATAATAATAATAATAATAATAATAATAATAATAATAATAATAATAATNTTTAAAGCGCCCTTCTTTCTCCGCGCTCGCTGTTGTCACACTGTTGATGACGTCAGTGACGCGGTTTAATCGGGCGCGCTTTAGTCAAGCGCGGTTTTGTCGTGCCACAGTCTGTCTAAAATGTAAAAATAATTTAAATGTGTATTTCTGAATAGTATGTATATTTTTGTTTGCAGACATTCCCTTGCTCCCTTCTATCATGTCTCTGAGTCTTAATGAAAGTGAAGAAAAAAGTGGTCCTTTTGTAGTGCACTGGCTAAATAATAAAGAATTACATTTTACGCTATCAATGGAGGTTTTTTTACAACAGTTTAAAAGAAATTTTGAGCATATTTCCTCAGAAGCCAGCACTGAAGAACCTAATCAGATGACTTTCAGATCTGATGAAGGTAAAATGCATAATGTTATCTTCTCTCATTGTTTTCAGGCTGCATGGAATAATGAATCGATTCATGTATACTGCCTATTTTAGAATGTGGAAATATTTTTTGTGTTTTACATAGTCTTATGACCTTGGGAGTATAAACATTTATGAATTATTCATTTATAGAACTTATAGGGATGCTTATAAAATGAGCCTAGGCATTTTTTGGCTCTCCTGAAAATGTTAGGATTCTGGTCATATAGTAAAAGCAAATGAGATGGTTTCTAGAAGAGGTGGAAATTGTTAACGAGTACAGTTATGAATAAATATTCAATAGAGTTCCTACATAGCATGTCTCTTTGTGCAAATGAATACTAGCCTAACAAAGGATTTTATGAATGAAATGTAATTTTTTAAATTATATAGTTATTTCTGGAGATGTCTTTCACTGGATTGTTTAAGAGAAGCTGAAAAAACGTCTTTTACCCTAAGATTTAAATATGTTTTTATATATAGAGATCTATTCACTTTTTAAATATAATTCTACTAGAAACTGATGACAGTAAAGAAGAACAGAGAAGAAATCAAGAACAGAAAGAATTTCCTGGTGAAAAACCTGTTTTAAATTCAAGCTCCATTCCCTTGTCTTCAGCTGTTATTGATCATGAAATTGAAATACAACTAACTGAATGGAATAAAAATGCAGATATGCTATTTAGTATTCATCCAATGGATGGATCATTGCTCGTATGGCATGTCGATTGGCTAGATGAATACCAACCAGGCATGTTTCGTCAAGTACAGGTACTACAAATTTCCAGGTACTATGTATTTAAAAATGTAATTGTTTTGGAAGCTTGTCTTGATTCTGAACTTTTTGTCTCTCTCCTTTTTAGGTGTCATTTGTTTCAAGGATTCCTGTTGCCTTTCCTACTGGTGATGCAAATTCACTTTGCAGAAGTATAGTGATGTATGCTTGTACAAAAAATGTTGACCTTGCTCTTCAGCAAGGCAAACAAAAACCTAGCCTTGGTCGCTCCTGCTCTATGTTAATTTCTTCAGGTCATAGCAAATTGCCCAACAATGTAAAACTAAGCATCTTCACCCCAAATGTTATGATGATTTCCAAGCATGCAGATGGATCGCTAAACCAATGGCTAGTCAGCTTTGCAGAGGAATCTGCTTTTTCAAATGTTCTCAGTATTTGCCACAAATCACGATACTGTGGACATCGTTTCCACCTTAATGACTTGGCTTGCCATTCAGTACTTCCATTGCTACTCACAACCTCTCATCACAATGCAGTGAGGATACCAGTTCTTGATAGCACAGAAGAGGCATCTCCAGAACATCAAAATAAAAGTTCTGCCTGCAAATCTCAGGATCTTACTGCTGTTTACAGTGAACTTATCCTCTGGAGAGTTGATCCAGTTGGCCCACTGTCTTTTTCTGGTGGAGTTTCTGAGCTTGCAAGAATAAATTCTCTTCATGTATCTGCTTTTTCAAATGTGGCATGGTTGCCTTGCCTCATACCTAGTTACTGCTTAGGTACGTTTTTTCCTTATAATTGATATATATAGATTATAGAAAACATACTATGATTGGACAACATTTACAAGAAATTCTTGGGGATTCTTACATAATACCTCTCAGCAACTCCTTTAAACTGCCTCTCTGAAGCATGTTTAGATATGTACAAACACATAGCCTTTATTAAGCTCTTCATATCTAAAAAAAAAAGCATAGGATGAAGACATTGGAATTCTTTTTGTTAAGAGTTATATTTTTCCCATTGTCTTTAGGTGCGTACTGTAATTCACCAAGTGCTTGCTTTGTTGCGAGTGATGGACAACATTTAAGACTCTATCAAGCTATAATAGATGCCAAAAAGCTACTCTGTGAACTATCAAATCCAGGAATTTCTGTAAGTTAACTAGACTTGTGATATTGCCAGTTAAATTTAATTTATCTATCTCTGTTTATTTAACCAGAAGATTAAGTTTGATTTATGAGAAATATTTTCTAATCTCAGGATCATAGAACTTCTGAAGAAACTACCATATCTTTTTCTTGAGTAGTGTTAGGTAAGCTCCCCATTGGGAGCGCTAGTACGTTCAGTGAAGCGTAGTGAAAGTTGTGTTGGAGAACACACAAACCAGCATACAAAGACACTGCAGTTTAAATAGGCTTTTACTTTCGTGGGAATAGAGGTATCAGAGTCATCAAACAGTCCAAGTCATACACGGATAAGACAGTCATCAATGTCTTTCAGTTAAGGGATAATCCAAATAACATAGTCCAGTAATCATACAAACAGTCTGGTACTCAAAATTTGCTAGCAGTTGCAAAACTTACAATAGCTCACGGCACTTTCTAACAGCCAGCTTCCAAAACACTCAGATCAGATCAGCCCAGCATTTAACAAACAGAGAGCTAACAGTCATTCTGGCTCCCTCTTATGGCCGATTGAGAAAACAGCAACCAATCACATTTTACAGTATGATTTAAAGAAACAGGTACAGCATTGCTATATGATTTATATGTTGCCAACCCAACCATTAGACTATATTCCTAACAAGTAGGATTGGTTTAAATAAATGGAGACTTGGGCAATGTTACATGAGTATATTATTTTAGGCATCTTAACCATACTGTATTATTGCTGAACTATATAATCTATAAACCACCATGTTTGAAGTATGTTCGTTATCATTTCTGGACTAAGAATATCTGAAATAAATTAAATAAAAAGTACTAAGTACAAGGATAATAAATTGCCAAATCTTAAATTTTTATTTCTCACTTCCAGTATTTCACTATTAGCAGAATTAATGTCAGTGTTCTATTTTTATGTATTATGCATAGACACTCTTAATAAAGTACATTTTGATTTTTTTCAAAAAGACAATTAGTAGTCTTACAATTGCTTAAACTATGAACTAAAAATTACCATATATAAATTTAATTGTAATCATTATCAACAGTTGTGTGAGTTTAATTATTATTTCCCAGATGATTTGCTGCCTTCACAAACGTTGAACATTTAGGATAAAGTTAAATATGTTACATTGTACCTGAGTTAATTGCTTATTTCAATTTTAATTTCCAAATTCCATCAAAAGTGGAAGTTTAATGTAGAGAAGGGAAGATGACCTGATACCAGGTTATTAGTTCTTGATTTTTTTCCCCTCATAATACAAAAAAGGAACAAATACAAAAGGAAGCTGTTATCAACAACCAGTATCATCTTTACTTACAAGAATCTCTATGGGATCTACATGGATCTCATTACCTCTTTAAAATTGTTTCATGAATGACTGGAGCCAAGGTTTTGAAGGCTATCTACCTCCCTGCCCAAAATAACTCCATAAAGTTTTATTGAAATGTAAGCAGTTTGCCTTCTACTAAATGCATACTTTCTGATTTGGACAGAAATCACTTACATCTATTTTGTATTGGCATCTATCTATTTTGTACTGGCATCTATTTTATAAAATCACTGTTAAATTCCAAATATACTCACTAGCTTAAAGATACTACACATTCTCATTGAAGACTACTTGATAAAAATCTGCTTTGAAGGTTTCTTTTTTTTCCCTTCTCTCTCCAGTTTTCTCTCTTTCTAACATTATTTCTCTCTGGGCAAGAGCCTCTTGAAGGAAGTAATTTTTTAGGAATTAAAATTTATGAACATTATCTTATTTTATATTTTCAGTTTTGCTGTTGCTCGATTCTGGGTAGTTCACAAAAATTTAAAAGTAACATGAAAACAATACAATGGAGAAGATTGGAATATCCAACACTACCCTAATGACTATTAGAATCCATTGGAGTTCAGGGACTATAAATTTAAATAAATAAATATTTTATAGCTTTCAGATTATATTCAAGTAAAAAAAGTAGAAAATATGGTTTGTCCTTGTTTTTATAAGGTAAAATAACATTTTACCTAATCTATATTTAATTAGCTAATTAAATATTCCAAGATATGCAAAATATTTTATCCATTTTGATTCATTTAAGCATTGGATACACAACAGAACAAAACAAGCAAATACATCATGAAAGTTATTTTTGTTGATGTAAGGAATTACTGGGTTGTTGGTACAAAAAGTAGTTCCTATTAATATAGTATGGCTAATTGTATTAAATAGAGTAAGTAGTTTCAAATGAAGAAATTAATGAAATATTATAATTGCATGACAATTAATTACTGGCTTTTGTTACTAACTGCAGAAATACGTTGGCAAATTTTTTAACATCATAAGTCAGCAATCTACAGCTAGACCGGGTTGCATTGTAGAACTGAATTCTATTACAGAGCTGGTAAGATTTACTATTATTTTATCTCATTATGCTTTATTTGAACTTTTTCAGTAAAATATTGACAAATAAAAGACAGCAAAAATAATGTTATCCAATTATTTATTGTTAGCCAAGTATTTAATATTTTTCATCACAAATGAATTAATTTATTTTTTATTGTTTTTAGATTGTTGCCACTCTGTTTATTATATTTATGTATAATAGATTAATGCATCTGTTTTTAATTTAGCATGGTGAGAAAATGCAGCTACTTCATGTTTTTCAAGAAGATTTCATTATGAATAATCTTGAGAATAGATTCTCTGAAAAAGAATCAATACTACTTGATCCTGGTAAAGCATATACACTTTAAATCTTAAGTAACATTTACTGTGTAATAAGCACTTTTGCTTGCAGCATTATGTTTGTAGTAAAACCGTTAATATATTTTATAATCAGATACTGACATTTCTTTTCTGCACTAAAATATTAATAATTTGAAATAATACAAATAAGACTTATCTGTTTTATCTGTTCTTTGACATGGGTAGGTTTTGATATATACCATTTTATGCCTAAATTTAATTATTTTAATTATATTTATAGATTTTATAACTTGCAATTTCTCTTGTGCACTGTGGGAACAGAAAGATAGAAATTTAATAATAATAAATATTTGTCAAAGATTTCCTGTCTCCTAAGTTCATTTTTATTCAAACAGGATAGAAAGAGAATCATGTTTGGCAAATATTACTAAATGTAATACATTATTCTTATATAAAACTGTAATAATTACCAACAAGAAAGAAAGTTGCATAGAGCTGAGACTAACCAAATAGAAGAATAGCAATAGCAATAGCAGTTAGACTTATATACCGCTTCATAGGGCTTTCAGCCCTCTCTAAGCGGTTTACAGAGTCAGCATATCGCCCCCACATCTGGGTCCTCATTTCACCCACCTCGGAAGGATGGAAGACTGAGTCAACCTTGAGCCAGTGAGATTTGAACCGCTGAACTGCAGATAGCAGTCAGCTGAAGTGGCCTGCAGTACTGCACCCTAACCACTGTGTCACCTCGGCTCTGAAGCTGAATGAATTGCAGAGTGGATTGTATGTTTTATGATTACAAATTAAATATGTCATTGTTAAAAAAATCTTTGAGTTTAAAAGAAAAGAATTTCGATGGGAGGACAAAGTTGTCTTTCTGGGATAAATATCCATTTTTAGTTGATGCCTTGCTACCTTATTTTTATGTTTATGATCAATTTATTGTGAGGGAAACTTCTAAAGTTGCATTTTGTCTATAATCTGAAATAGTAAGTCATTTTATCACCTCCTCCCTCTTACATGTGCTATACATTAGTCAAAGCCAAAAAGTATAAATAAGAACGAACAATTGATTTTCTTCTAAATGTAAATGCAGTCATACCCTGTGCTTCAGATTGCCACTGATTGGTCCAGCAGCTACAGCAACGCCTTTCTCAAATCACTTTGACTTCTGGACTAAATTAAACATATTCCAAAACCCTTAAAGTAGTCCATGCATAGAACATACCATAGTAATATGAACCATCTGTGAGGAGTTCATATGGTTAATGAAGTTAATCTGTTTAATAAAGTTAATCTGATAAATTAAATCTAATCTGATAAAGAACATTAAGTCCCATTGATACTGGAGTTGCACCACCAGTTCCAAAAAGACTTTTGAATTATAAACTGTAGAGAACTGCAGCTTCTTTAAAAATCAGTTTGCAAGACCTAGCTAAAACATAATAATAAATAAATAAATAAATAAATAAATAAATAAATAAATAAATAAATAAATAAATAAAAACCTGGAAATATTTTTAATTGCTGTCTTTTACTGAAACTTTTTTTTCTTTTTGCAGGATATCAGGAAAATGGATTTTCTGAAAAATTCTATTTAATTGTAATTGAATATACTCAAAACTGCTCACTGTTACATATGTGGAAATTACATTTGAAATCCCTACCAGTCTCAGTGGGTATGTTCTAAATATTTGACAATATATATAAGAATGTATATATTATGTTTCTTGAAGAATGTATTCATTTGATAATTGCAGCATAAATTCATTAAATATTTATTATTGAATTTCTCAGTTCTGTGTTCTATAATTTCTTAATTCTTTTTCAAATACACATAACTATGGTTTTTAGCTGTTCTTTGTCATTGTCTCATAATCTTTACATATTTTGACTAAAGACATAGGCAAATTATTAATAAAGTAAAATATTTCAAAACTCTTTTGTGTCTAAGACTAAGTAGACAATGTATACACTAGCTTTTTGGTGGTGCACTAATCCATAAGAATTAGAAAGTAGAAGGATATTACAAGTATGTAGAATCCAAAAGTGTCAATCAAACTTCCATATAGAAAGAGGTAGTAATAAGGTAATAATTTCACTTTGTTATTGCAGTCAGAATTATTCTGCTTGAACCTGAATATTAATGAAGGGCATGAACTAAATGCTAAGCTTAATGGAAAAAGTCAACATATTTAATGTTTATAGTTGTAATTCCAGAGCTGGTGAAAGAGTTCTATAGAGACACTAGATCGATTCCCTAATTCCTACAGCATAGAATATTGTGCTGGATACAAAAGAATTCATGATGAAAGAGGGGTCATAGTCCATATAAAGTTCAATATGTCCTGAAAAATATTTTGGATATGAAAGGCAGGCCATGTAAATATGAAATATTGTCTTTAGCAACTGGCTAAACCTCTGATGCTGTTTATTTCTAATGACTTGTAGAAAAATAAATATGTTGATATAAACATAGAATTTAGTTATTGTAATTTCAGAATATCTTGAAACTTATTAGAACAGATTGTATTTTAAGTAAACATTAAATAAAATATCCCAATTATTGTAGATGAAAAAATAGCACCTAAGGCATCTGAAACAACATCTCAAGAAGAACTGCATTCTTCTTCTCCGGACCAAGAAAAGCTTCACATTTCCTTTACAAAGAAATATCAAGTTTGCAGAGATAATCTTCAGAGCACCAGCCAATTAGTTCTTTCTTCAGAAATTGTCTATAGTCAAGAACTGAATTTACCAGAAGGAGTGGAGATAGTAAGCATTAAACCATCAGCAGGTTTGTAAATTAAAAAAACCAAATAGGGTAGGAGGAAATTATGTATTAACAGTCTTTCATCTAACTTTTCTTCAGAGTTTTTATTAAATCTTAATGGTAATTTTAAAGCAAAAGAAAATTGATATAAAAACAGCTACTAAACTGCTATAAAAGTTACACCATGTTACAACAGTAAACTTGGTTTTATCAACTATAGAGCACTAAACTTTGCTCTTAGGTTTTGAAAAAAATGCTTGAAAATTTCTTGTTCAATTATTTTTTTTCTCTGGTTAGTATCCTAAGGATTTTTGTTTTTTAATCTTAGGTCACTTAAGTAGTTCTTCAATTTATCCAGTTCGCCAAGCTCCTTATCTTCTTGCAACACTTTGCTCAGATGGGAAAGTTAGGTTTTGGAGGTGTAGAATGGCACAAGAAACAGATGTGTTATCCAAACCAGAGAATACTAAGAACAGTGGTATGTATGTATGGGAAGAATGGCCATTGCTAATTGAAGATGGACATCTTAGTAGCAGTGCCCTTGAAGTGTCTGGTTTATCTCTTGAAATTAGCTGCGCTCATACAAATCGTTTAGCTGTGGCATACAAGCGAACACCACCCCAAAACAGTAATTCTCAAGATTTTTTTGTGAATGTCGGCATTTTTGAATGTGAATCTACAGGAGGCTCTTGTTGGAACTTGGAACAAACACTTCATTTAGATGAACTAAATCTAACATTGGATTCGCTGAGTGTCAATAGTAGTTCAATGGCAGTAGGAAATAAGAACTTAACATTCAGAACAAAGCATTTGGTTCATTTAGACTGGATGTCTAGGGAAGATGGCTCTCATATATTAACAGTAGGCATTGGTTCAAAGCTTTATATGTTTGGTCAGTTGGCTGGGAAAATACAGGAACAAAGTGCTAAGGAAATGCTTGTACTGCCAGTATGGGATAATGCTAAAACCTCTTGTACATCTAGATTTATACTGTTACGATGTGTCGATTTGGTCTCATCAGTAGAAGGGTCGCCTCCTTTACCAGTTTCTTTGTCTTGGGTTCGTGATGGCATCCTTGTGGTTGGGATGGATTGTGAAATGCATGTGTATTCTCAATGGCAGCCATTTTCAAAGCAAGATCCCATTACTGCAGACTCTTTCAGTGTTAGTACACCATCTATAACAAGTTTGGTTAAACAAAGCCAGTCGTCTGGTGTTCCCCCATCAAAGCGAACATTAACCCGATCCATGGCTAGCTTTGCTCAAAAACTTGGTGGGAAACGATCTGTATTTGATCTGTCACTGGAGATGGAAGATTCTGGTCTTTTTGAAGCAGCTCATTCATTATGTCCTACTTTACCTCAGTATCATCCTGTGCAACTTTTGGAACTTATGGATCTAGGGAAAGTACGTAGAGCAAAGGCCATTTTATCTCATCTAGTCAAATGCATTGCTGGAGAAGTTATTGCTTTAAGTGACCCCTGCCATGAGAAAAGGTATCGGTCTCTCTCAATCTGTGCTAGTGGGAGTAGTACAAGAGACCCTATGACATTTAACAGATGTGTAATTACAGACTATACAGAAATAGATTCTGTTCCACCGCTTCCTTTGTATGCATTGCTTGCTGCTGATGAAGAATGTTCCTATGCTTGTACTGAAAAGTCAAATACTCCAAAGAACCTTAACAAACATGTGACTGATGAAAATTATGAGGATCTATTTCAAAATTCCAGCCTGTATACAGATGAACTGACTACAATTGAAGTAGATGAAGATGACAAAAAGCCAAAAGTTATTGATCTTTCTCAGTATAATCCAACTTACTTTGGACAAGAGCATGCCCAAGTTCTTTCTCGTCACTTGCTTCATTCTAGCTTACCAGGACTTACCAGGATGGAACAGATGCTATTGATGGCATTAGCTGATACAATTGCCATTACCAGTACTGATATAGGAGAAAGCAGAGACAGAAACAAAGGTAAATTTTGTAATGACTAATCCAGGTTTTCTTTTTAACAGTCCTGCCTATACTTACTTAACTGAATTAATCAGTCAGTCATTCAATTGCAAACACTTCTAAACATTAGATTCCACTGTTAATACAAGAATATATCAATTAATTATGAAGACTACTAACTTATATGAAATTTGATATGCAATAGATTAAATTTGGTAAATAGAATTGTAAGCCACTCAAAGTCACTGGTTGAATGGGTGGGTATAGAAATTCCTTAAATAAATAAAATAGCTTGAGTTGGGAAGTACCCAAGGAAAATTAATACTATACTTTATTTACACACTAAATATGATTCTCTAAATACCTTTTCTGTGTTCCATAGTTACTGTTATTTTTTTAGCATTAGGTTTACTACTTCTAGGAAAGTATTTTACCCAGTGTACAAATAGAAACATTTTGCTTAAAGGTTTGAAGTTTAAAAGTTAGAATTGTCTCTCTTTCTATATGGACTGGCAAATTTCCATATACTGCAATAGTTATGGTGAAACCATTGGTAATATTGATATCAGATAAAAATAAACATTGTAGGGCTCTATTTTTCTGCTATAATTATGTTACTTCATATTAATTAATTAATTAATTAATTATTGATTGCTTTAAAATCCATTGTAGTACATAAATTTTTTACCCATTCTCTACATTGTGAAACTATGCTTACCTAACAAGTAAGACGTACATGTATAAAAATAATGGAAAATGTGGCAAATAGTCATAGTTTTGTTTAAAGAGCTTCATTTTATAGATTAAATCTTCATTCATAGGAGGAGAAACACTTGATGAATGTGGTTTGAAGTTTCTTTTGGCAGTTCGTCTTCACACTTTTATGACAACTTCTGTACCACCTGCTCACAGACCTCAGCTATTATATCAAGGTAAATATTTTCTTTAGTCTTTGTGAGGCACTAATGCAAAATAGAACAATATTTTAGATATAATTAGGATTGTTTCTGAGGAAATGTGACCTTTGGAGATGGAGAAACTTTGGCATAGTGCTGATAATCAAGATAATACACTGAACAGTTGAATACTACAGGTTTTTCTGTTTTTCGCTCTAGGGTAGTCTCATCAAGTCTCTGGATATACATGTATTTTTAAACAGTTAAGTACAGGGATCTAAGTTTTTGTTTTATTTGTGGCATACAGACTTAATTAATTGTTCTGTCCCCCCTTCTCCGCTTGTTAAACAGACGACAGGCAAAGGCAAACAACTTAAAAGGAACTCTCTTTATCAGTTCTCGGCTCCAACTGGCTGCGAGCCCAAAAATAACATAAATAAAGTCTCTAACGCGATAACAAAATACCAAACAAAAACTCTTACACGCAATGCACTTCTCCAAGTGTAGCCTGGAATCAGGGTTACAGGAAAACAAAGCACTTCTCCAAGTGTATCTTACATAAACCACGACCGATGATCAATCAATGTTGAACGAACCAAGGAACGTTGACTCCTGCAGCCAGGGCGTGACACCATCCGTCCTTTAATCCCCAGAACATGCCACTCACGAGCCCCAGCTGCAGTGTTAATCTTGCATCCTGAAAAGACTCACAGAAGACATCTGCTGAGTCACAATAATTAATATTTTGTGTTTTACAACTTTTTAAGTGTAGCTATTTGCAAGTCATTAATTATTCACACAGATTATGACAACATGATTTTGTTTTTGCATATTACTTCATGTTTCCAACTTTAAAAAAAGTATCAGAAAAATAATCACTAAATATTTTAAGGTAATATAGTTATCAATTATAAAGTAAATTAAATAACTATAAAGTAATTATTTGTGATTATTTCAGGTTTGTCTTCGAGTCATTTTGCCTGGGCGTTTCACTCTATTGCAGAAGAAGAACTTCTAAACATGCTTCCTGCAGTACAGAAAGGTGATCCAACATGGTCAGAACTTAGAGCTATGGGAATAGGATGGTGGGTTCGAAATACCCATAATTTGCGCAGATGCATTGAGAAGGTAAAGGCAGTTTATAACAAATTAGCTTGTATCTTGCTGTAAGTTTCATTCAAATAATAGAGTGCATTTTTTCAGATTTTTTTTAAGCAGAATGTTATTGTTTTTTCATATAGGTTAAAAAGATTGAAAAGGAATGCTGCCATGAAAAGCATTTTTTCTACTTTTGTTACTATTGGCTTGTATATAGTTCATCTTCTGTAGTCACATATTATAATTCTCATATAATCATTCAGTATGGCTTCAGATAACAGTAATAGGCTGTTTTTGTCTGCCTGATTTACATCAGTTGATTAATGTTAAAGTAATCAATGTGACAAATACTTTGCCTTGAACAGAACTGAAGTTTGCACTTGAAATTATTGATATAACTGTATATGGCTTTATTTTTATAAAGAGGGATAGAATAAGTAGAAACAAAAATTTAAATTATTTTAAATAGATATACTTTTAAGAAATGGCAGTGAACAGCCAGATGAACTAAAGAGGACTTACTATTTTTACTCTTAAAGTGAAAACCTCTTCTATATTTATTTAACTGCTGAGTCACGCAATGAATAATTTTGTAAAGTCAAAGTAAAGTCTTCTTTACATTAAGCTTTATTCCTGATAACTACATGGACACAGCCATATCATTTCCTTGATATCAGTAGAGGAAAAATTATAATGTTTGTTACAAAATTCCAATCTACAACTCTACAAATGTTTTCCTTTACAAGTAAAATAAAGACTCACCTGCTTTTAATCAAAACCAACCAAGGTAGACAAAGTAATGCCCCTTGCTGAGATTTCTTACTAGAATATCTCACCTAGATAATTGAAGGAAAGACACTTCTTTTGAACTAGCCCATTCATGATATGTTTTCATTTATATGGATATTATGTCTGCAAGGTTTACTTTGCTTTATTTGTTTTAAGTGGCAGAAATGTTAATTGAATTTACTTTAGTAAGTTGTTCAACTATTCCTAGATTCCTTCAGGTGAGTTAGAGCTCCCAATGACCGGATATGGGGTCCTCAGCCATTTAAGTACAAGATGAAAATGATCATAACTCTGTGATCTGGTGATAAGTTTCAAAATTACCAGGCATGAATGCAATCAAGACAAGCTTTTGCTTTTCTCATATTTTATCAGCTCTTTATATAAGCATTAGCAGGGTAGCTATGAGCTATCAGAAACTGCATTCCCTGGAGTTTATGAGATTTCATGCAAGCAGTTGATCAAAGGAGAGAAAGTGTTTTCTTTTTCTTTCTTTTTTATATTTTTATTTATTTACAAACATACAAAATCCACACACAGCATGCACTATGTTTACACAATACAGTACAAACAGGAAATTCCTGTTCTATGTTTTCTAATTCTACACTAAGCATGAAATACAAGAGGTTTGCTGGAAGGTAATTTTTTTTTTAATAAAAACTTCTTTTATTACACAAACAATACATACAGACAACAATTTAAAAAACACACACAAAAAAAACAAAAAAATGCACATACAAAAAAAGCATCATCACATACAACATGTTGTTTGGTTTTAGGTGTTTTAACATCCATATTCTCGAATAACATTTTCCATCACA